CAGAACAGGTAAAACTGTAGAGATCGAAAGTAGATTAGAGTTGCCTAGGGCTGGAGGCCTCGGGAGAAAATGGGGACTATTAATGGGTACAGTATTTCTTTCTGAGGTGATGAAAGTGTTCTAAAATTGACTGTGGTGATGGTTGTACAACTATATGAATGTATTAAAAACCATTGAACTGTATACTTTTTGAAAAAAAAATCTGTGTGTTTAAAGTGACACTCAAAAAATAAAATAAAATAAGATACCTTTGGAAAATAGGAGGAAACTAACTCAGTTTGAAAAATGAATAAAGGGAATCAAATAGGAACTGTACCTCAGGGAACCAAATAGTTGATATGAGGACGTTTTCCTTCACAGAACTATTCTAGCTAATATGAAGAAATAATAGAAACAAACTATCACCATTTTTACAGTCCTTAATAAATTAGGGATCAAAAGAGGTAATGTGCCTCCTGATAGAAGTCCCTATCACCACCTTTTAAGTACTCTTGCCAAGAAAATGAACTAATCAAGTCACTAAATCTAACCACCAATTTGTAGGAAGTAAAGGGGACAGAATATAGTAAACAGGATGCAATGGAATATACACAGGACAAATAACCGACTTTCTCAATAAATAAATTACAAGGAGGAAAAAGAGACTTAAGAGATATACATTAACCAATTACAATATGACCTTCATTCAAACAAATCAACTGTTTTAAAAAACTGATATAACTAGAAAACTTTGAACAATGGATATTTGATAACATAAAGGAAATTTTTTAGGTGTGATATCATCATCAAGAATGTCTATCTTTTAGAGACACATGGAAATACTTAAGATGAGATATGACATCTGGAATTTGCTTCAAAACAATCTAGGACTGGAGGGTGGGGGATGGAGTTTATGGTCAGTTACCTATAAATGAAACTAAGCAAGCCATATATTAATAAGTGTTGAAACTGAGTGATGGACATTTAGGGGCTCATACTAGTATCTTTGTTTTCATAGATGCTTAAAATTTTCCAAAATATACAAGTTAAAAATAATAACATTAAGCACTCAGGAAAACAAAATGAGAAGTTATGTTCAAAGGACTAGAAGTGTTCAGTAATACCAGTTAAACAAAGATAAATATAAATAATATAAATCTTTTATAAAATTTTCAAATATTATTTGTGAGAGGAAGAATAAATGTTCTTAAATATTAACATTCTAATTATTTGCAGGCTCATCTTATCTCTCTTAGTAGACGTTAAATTTCTTTTCCCCAACCAGCAAGAGGAATAGTGCTTTGCATATATCAGAATAGCAATCCTTCAAATAAATTCAGTAAAATATACAAGTCATCCTGACATACAGAAAGAAAGCAAATACTTTCTCTACATTCTTAAAAAAAAAAAAAAAAAACTATGAAAAGGAACACTTGCATTCTTTTGACAATTGTTTAGCTCCAGGTTGTTCACACGAGCTTATCCCATCCGCTCCAAACAATATCAATAATAGCTATCATTTACTAAACAGTCACTTCTCTGCTGAGGGCTAGATATAAGATCATTTTTAATCCTCACAATAACCTTATAGGGGAATTAGCTTCCTTTCATAAATAAAAAAAATTGAGGCTCATAAACTCAGAACTCAGACAGAGATGGCATGTGGTTCTAGGGACCCTATCTAGCCTGAGTGTCTCCAAGATCCACATCCCCCTAGCTCCTCTCATGCCTTGGGATACAAGAACTTTTGCTTGGAGTCAAACATCATTCTCTAGATTGGTTTTCTTCCTCCTTTTGATTCATACAGTCCAGGCGAGATCAATGCAACATCCCTGAAACCTTTCCTGTGGCTAAAGTGAGTTCAAAAGTTTATTTTTTCTCTCTCTCTCTAAATCGACAGATTTACCCTCAGTAACTTAACCAAGCCCACCTTAGGTCTTACTCATCTAACAAAGCACACACATTCATTATGGAGCCCTTATAGATTTCTTCCTTTCTCACTGCACACAAAACTGTCTTCTCCCAACCATACTTTTTCACTTTTCCTCAGAGAAGCAAACATTAGATAACCAGCCCTCAGCTTTCAAACATTCATTTATAACTTTGCTAACCTTGCCAAGTCGTCTTTGATTCTCCTCTTGCCTCCTACATGTAATTTGTCACCAATTCTACCTAAAGTTGTGCAATTCTACCTAAAATCTCTCTCAAATCCATCCTTTTTCTTTCAACAACCCAAAATTCACTTTTGGGGCTTGATCTTCTGCAGTATAAACTATAACATAGTTGGTGAAACAGTGGTCTCCAATTTCTTCCCATGCATTCCTTATCAATAAAAAAATTTGAGCATACAACTGATATACATATATTTACTTATAAATTATAAGACTATTTTACTATACTAATATATGCATTAGAAAATACAAGTATGGAAATGTTGATAGTTTATATGAAAACAAATATAAGTTCTACCATATTCTTTTCACACCCCAGTGGATCATCTTGCACAAGCCAAAGATATCAACTGTCCTAAAATACTGCTGCCAGAGTAACCTTATTTAAAACCCAAATCTGATCATATGACACTCCCAACTCTATCCTTCAATGGCAACATGTCCCAGTGGCACAAACCTACTTTTTCAACTCCATCTCCTGTAATCTCTTCATCGCATGTCCTGTATTTCAGTTATCCCTGTTACCTCCCTGTCTTTTGCACACAGTTACCTCCCTGTCTTTTCCTACACCTGGGAAGTCCTTATCCTTGACAGCCACTGATTTATACATAATAGGATCTCTAAGAGAAAAATACATTCTAAATGCAATTAATCCACTTACAAACAAACTTTTGGAACGTTAACTTATCTTTTCTATAGGAACTTATGTTTTGAACATATCTTCTGTTACGTCCAATATTTGTCTCCTTTTCAAGTTCTAAATACTTGGAAGAATGGGTTTGCATTCAAAAAAAAAGTAGAGGAGACCAACTTTGTTTTGTTCTCTTCGGTTTATTTTTCTTCCTTGTTTATCTTTCCATTTCCCCACAAAATCCTTCTAAGCAAAAGGATGTTGCAAATCCAGAGCTTAGTTCCCCCCAGGGCCAGGGAAAAGGCTAAACCTTTGCAACCCACAATCAAAATTCCAGCCAAGAGCTTACACAGCCTAAATAAAATATTTCCCTACAGCAATACTTCAGGTTTTACCTTCCTTGTTTCAACCTTCCTATCTGTTGTGCAAGCCCCTTTACAATGACTACAATGGCTAAGATTTAAATGATGGGGATGCACCCAATACATTTTCCAAAAACATCATGAAAATTCAAGTGACTGACGGGCAACTAATAATGGGGAGCTCAGTCTCCAACACAGTGGTTCTCAACCTTCATAATGCCGTGACCCTTTAGTACAGTTCCTCAGGTTGTCTTTGGGTGTATCTGCATGTGGGCGGACCAGCCCGGAGACAGAGGAGCGGTGTCTCAGTTCCTAAGATGATCAGAAATATGTGTTTTCTGATGGTCTTAGGCGACCCGTGTGGAAGGTCATTCAACCCCCAAAGGGGTCGCGACCCACAAGTTGAGAACCGCTGCTCCAACAAGACTTGTACTGTCTGCGTTGTCTCCTATGGGGACTGGGAGGGGAACTCTATGGTGGAGAGAGAAAAGAGAAGAGGCATTAGAGGGAGAAGCCCTCCAAAGAAGTCACATTTCAACCTCCAGTCTTATCTCACAGTAAGGGAGGTATGTCAGCTGTGCCATACAATCGGCATCAGGAAGCAGCAAGCCTGTGGTGCATTTTGGTAATGGGATCCTTTAACAAGCAGTCCAAAAAGACTAGCAAAGCTATCCTAAGAAGCCAATCCTGCTTTTCTGTACCAGAAAAAAATAAGATGGGTTTATCCCCACTTACAAGTCATTCCACTGTTCTTCTGGAATCCTTTCTCCTTTCTCCACATCTCACCTTTCTTTCAGTTCAAGTTCCAACTTCTTCCGAGAAAACCATCTCTGTCTACTTTGCTCTGTCGTTTTCTACACACCTCATTGGACCAAATCAAAACTACAATGAGATACCACTTTACATAAAATGGTGCACTTGTTTGGAAAGCAGTTTAACAGTTTCTTAAAGAGTTACCATACGATCCAGCAATTCTATTTTATGTTCATAACAGTGAAAAAGTGGAAACAACCCAAATACCTAACAACTGATGAATGAATGAATGAATGCATGAATGCATGAATGAATGAAAGAAATGTGATTTGTCCATACAATGAAATATTAGTCAGCAATAAAAAGAAATAAAATACTCTCGTATGTTATGTGGATAAACTTTGGAAATATTATGTTACATGAAAGACAAAGAATTATATATTGTGTGATTCCATTTATAAGAAGGCCCAGAACAGACAAATCTACATCTACAATTAGTGATTGCCTAGGGCTGAGAAGGTTTGGAGGTGAATGGGGAGTGACCGTTAATGGATTTGGGGCTTCTTCCTGGGGTGATGAAAATGTTCTGGAATTGGTCAGTGGTGATCAACCACATTTCTATGAGTATACTACAAATCATTTACTAATATACTGTAAGAAAATTAATTTGATGCCCGGGCCATAAAGTTTGGCTCAGCGGCTAGAGCATCGGCCTGCGGTCCAGAGAGACCTGGGTTGGTTCCCGCTAAGGGCACGTATGTTGGTTGCAATTCATCCCTGGCTCTGGCTGGATCGTGCGGGAGGCAGCCACTCCATGTGTCCCTTTCACGTCGATGTTTCTCTCTCTTTCTCTCTTCCTCTCCCTCCCACTCTAGCTGAACAAAAAATGGAAAAAGTGTCCTTGGGTGAAGATAAAAAAAAAAATTAATTTTATGGTATATGACATAACTTAATCAAGTCGTTTTCAGATTACCACCACCTAAAAGTCCCTGCTCAGGCTCCAGTCTCTCTCTCTGACCTTAACCGCAAGCCTCTCTACCATCAGTCACTTCCCAAACCCACTGGCCTTCTATCAGTTCCTGAAATATGACTAAGGTTTCTTACCTTGAGGCCTTTGTATATTCTCTCCTCTCCATCTGGAATGAAGTCTTGTCCAGTCTCTTTACATAACTAATGACTTCTCATCCTTTAAGTCTCAGCTCAAACGTTATCTCCACAGTAAGCCTTCCCTCTCTATCTAAAATAGGACAGCCGCTCCCATTATTCTCTTAGCATTTTGTTTCCTACGTAGCCCACCAGACTGTAAACTCCAACAAGAGTAGGAATGAATATGCATTATTATGCACCATTATAATTCCCAATGTCTAACACGATTCCTAGCATTTAAGTGCCTAATAAAATGGTAATTAGTATTTTTATTTCCTTAATATGCCACGTCCTCACACACACTGTTTTTGTATTGAGATTACTACAACTGCTGTCACAACTACCATCACAGCCGCCACTACCACTGCCACCCCATCATCCTCTTACCCCTTTCATACCCTTACTCATCTCTCCTGTCTCAATTAAAACAGTCTTCTTGATAAGCCTGCCTCCTTGAGCCCTTCCTTGGAAGAGTGTCTCCTCCACTATTCACCTATTCATCACAGGCTGCACCTCCACCGTAACAATGACCTTATTGTATTATATTCAGGAATTGTTTGTTTGTTTTGGTGGGGAGGGGGCCTGCAGGGAGTTTGTTTTGTTTTACATTTCTGTCTTAAAACTACTTAGGGAAGCCTAAAGCAAAGAAAAATCTTCATTTCTACATCCCAGTGCACTACTGGGCACATAATACTACCAATTATGATAATAACAATAATGACTAACATTTACTGAGTGTTTAGTATGTGCTTGACACTATTCTTAGTTCCGCAGTGAGTGAGTGAATGAATAAATGGATAAATTCCTTGGTCACCAACCTCAAAGAGTTCACAGTCTGACAGGGACAGAAGACAGGTATACAGGCTAATGCAGAATAAACACACCACAAGGCCAAATCAGCTGCCCTGTCCTGTCTCTCTATGCCTTCAAATCTTTGAGTATGCTTTTCTCTGAGTCCATAAATGTCAGGTTCCTTCAAACTCACTTAGAATACTTCCTTCGATTACTTACCATCCACTTCCTGCCCTTGGTGCCTGGAAACAATTTCTAGGATGTCACCACAAGCAATATTAAACTGCCACACAGTTTCCTGCTGTGTGTCTGCATTATCAGTTAAATTGCTTCATATTAACCACATTCCAGTCCACTGGGATCACTCAAACACCAACTAAGATTTAAACAGCTGTCGAAGATGCCAGTCACCATTGCTCCTTTTATCCCTCTAAATAAATGTCTGCTCAGGTTTAAGATTTAGGAGCTTTCTAGGGTACTACCCACATAACTGGTGACCATTTCTTTCTTTTGTCAAGTAAATGTTTGGTGTGAGATCATGTTCCTCTATTAAAATGAACATGAACTGAACACTCTTTAGAAAACATAAAGAACTGTCTGCCTAGATCAGGGCAATTTGGCTTAAAAACATATAAAACATAAAAACCGTTCCTCCTCAAGAGTTCAAGTAGCAAATTGTTCTTTTAACTATGTACACTCAATTAGGATCTTAATTCAGATACTAACATATTTCTTAAATGCATTCCATAAAGTCTTCCTAAACAATCTTGTGTGTCAGGTATTGGGTTTGACATGGGAACTCAAAGACACAGTCCCTACTCTCAAAAAGTTTGTCAGGCTTAGTATGGGAGACAGACAGGAAACTGGATTTAGTACTCTGATGATGATAAACATAAGGGGCCACAGAAATAGATGAGGAGCGGCTCGGCTGGGGAGGGGAATGCACAGATGACGGGCACCTGGCCCAGGCTGGGGGGGGGGGGGGATGGTATTAGGGCAGGCTTCCAGGGGATGGCATCTGATCTTAGGCCTATAAATTCCCATTTTCTCATTTTAAAAGTGTGGTTATCATTGGATAGTTGTGAGGATCTGATGAAATGGTTCACATACAGCATTACCACCATGCCAGACACAGAGACTGTACTCAACTAGCCTTAGCTTGAAAGAAAAGTCTGAACAGGCACTAAGTCTCAATACCCATGCCTAGCAACTAAACTGATCATAGAGCAGACCCCAGCTTCACAATTACAGACTCTTGTTTTTTATCACTTTTATTTTTTACTAAGAGAATGTTAAGTCCAGCTCTGCATGCAAATAGTCTAATCCCTTGATCATCAAAACTTTCTTCTCCATTACCTGAAACATAGTTCTCTGACAATTCTGGTATAAAATATACTAGTTTTCTTAGTCTTTTGATAGAGAAGGTGTAAAAAGAAAACTAACAATTACAGAGCTTTTAATATGGGCCCTGTAGTCATGGGCCCTGAAGTCATGGTGATACTATGGTTACTGCCCATAATGACCCTGCAACAATAGTTTTCCCCATTTTACCCTCAGGGTGAATAAGAAACTGTGTAAAGTTTCAAACACAGTAAGCAGACAAAAGAGCTGGAACTTGAATCCAGATCTGGTTCTAATCTCACCCTGACTGGGCCACATAGCATCAAAGATAAGCAAGAGAAAACACAAGCAGCAATAGTGCTCTCCTGCTTGGAGGCACCTCAATGTGCTCTCTGCCTCCTACTCCCCCACCCCCAAGATTGTCCTACACAATGGAGTCTACACACTTAGATTACACCTCAACCAGGTGAACACCTTGAGCTAAGTGTCTTCTTTCCTATCAGGATGGAATGGTCAATAGTAACCAAAGCTATTTCCTCCAATAAGTAGGGCTGCATCAAAGCAGATGGTTTCCTCGCCACAGGCCCATCCCCATACCTAGTAACGGGCATAAGTTGCATAATCAACAGTCACTGTAAATCACAAGTAATTTTCATAACTTCTCTCTCCATAGTCTCTTTCAGTCTCACAAGTAAAGCTAATATATTTCCTAAGCCCAAGTTTTTATCACAAAGCAGTCTAGTTTCAAGATCAAGGTTATTCTTTATACTTATTTCATACTTGATATTTATTGCATTAGTTAAGTTCTCTTGCCCGAGTGCTCACAGAGATTGATTCCCAAAACACACTTTAGATATGTATTTGTCAACCTGCAACCTTCACAAGCGAGACAGAAACCCAGTGCCTAATCATCTGGACTACTATTTGTTGGATTTTCATGCTGGCTCTGACACTGCCTGCCTCATATCTGACAAGTTTCTGAACTTTTGTGTAACAAGAAGGGCAAATATCCTAACAAGCATACTCTGTGACTCTAAGGTGGCTTTTGGAAAGTGTTTCTAAGTGCTATTGAAATCCAAGTTTACAACTCTTCCTTGGAAGCAAGAGCTGAACTTGGAGCCTCTTTAATCCCAATGCTTCACAAACTGTGTCTTTTTACCTCCCAGGCCTCTTAAACTCTTATCTGGAGCACGCCTCTAAATTTTTCCCATTTCCACAAAAATCAAGAACTAACAGTGTTCTCAACCAACTCTTCCATTTTCATTATCATACGCAAACTCTTCTAGTTTCACTTAGCAGAGGTCTTGGGGCTGCTGCAGCACGTATTAGTCACATTTTGTGACTGGAAGCCTGAGCCTCAGAGGACTACAAGGCTGAACGAAGGTCACACTGCATGGACATCACTGGACAAGGATGCAATTTTTGAAAAAGTATTAGATTTTGCCCCTAAGGCCCTTCCCCTTTAAAACTTCCCCTAGCCTAATTCTCAAAATGCTGAAATAAACACATTCTACAGCCTTTCTTGTAAGCAGGTTTCAAGTGTCCTGTGAAAGCTGTTTTAAGGAAAAGCCTATGCTGTCAACTTTGTTTTTCAGTGCCCTCAAACAATTCTATTACTCAGAGAAAACGTGAACATTTGTTAGTGATTAGAGATAAGGCATCTCGTGTTCTGGAGCTGAGGAAGGGAGAGGCCAAGAGGACCTGGCGTGGTGGGGAGATAGAGTCCAAAACAACACACCCAAATTGGACTGCATAAAAACTGCACTTTCCAAAGTCAACTTCTAGTCTAGGGGGAGGGAAACAATGTTTCAATGGGTTCTGAAGTTAGATGTATCAACAATTTCTCAGGAAAACTAACCCCCACCAGGGACTCCAAGTGAATGAATGAGTGAGGGAATTGGCCAGGCTGGGTTACAAAGCCTTTCCAACAATCATCAGGTGCTCAGTTACAGCACAGAGGTATCTTCCTGCACAGCCGTGGCCTTCGCTGGGTGGAGATTTTCTTAGGTAAGACACAGGAGGAGCGAGACAAGGGCCTTCACCCCAGGCCGTCCAGACCTCAGGTCGAAGAGTGGCCCCCTCCCTCTGAGAACCTCACGCGACTTTTGTGGGGACCCGCAGGCCTCAAGCAGCCGGCTGCCACCTCTCAGGACCTGCCCAACTCTCAGAGGCGCCCCCAACACACCCATTTGAGGAGTTGCTTCTGGAGATTTCTCGCCCTCCCCCCAAGAGTTGTAAGACCATTTTCAGAGGCTCTCTGTGACCCCGGAGAGAAGGCCACCTGGTAATCTTGGCAGCTCCCGCCATCAGGTGAGGAGGGGACACCTGACCAGCGGCGCCCTACCACCCCACGCGCACCCCACCCCCGCGCCTCCCTGAATCGCCATGGCAACTGTCCCCCTCCCCGCGTGACGCCAGCACGCGGGACGTCCCTGGGGTCCCGGCAACAAGTCCCCCGCGCGACCCACGGCCTTCAGCCCTTGCCCGGCCTCTCCACCCCGCGCCCGGCCCGGCCGCACTCACTTGATCCTGGAGCCCATGGTCCCCGGGCCTCCTCATGGGCCCGCGGGCCCCGCTCGGCGCTGCGCTGCCTGCCCGCCCGCCCGCGGCCGACCGGCCTCCCTCCGGCGCTCTCCCCGCCCCTTCCTCCCTTCCCTCAGGCTGGGCCCGCCCGCTCGAGGCTCGCTCCCTCGCCGCCGCCGCCGCCTCCCGGGGTTAATGTACTAGCTCCAGCCCGGCGAACGCCATGGTCGCCGGCGCGCGTGCCCGGCGCGCGCCGCCCCCGCCGCCTCTCACTCCGCCGCCCCCTCCCTCCCGCGCCGCCGCCGCCCGCATGGGCTGCCGGGAAGTGTAGTCCGCTCCCGGGAGGTGGGGCCGTCGGGGGGGTGGAGGGGGACCGCACTTCCGCCCACTGATTCGGCGAGCTCTGTGTATCATAATCTTCCGGGTACAGACCC